CCTCAGAATTGATCAAAAATCTTTTACAATAATTATTATTTTTCTTATGACTGATCACAAAATAATAGCAAACACAATAGTATTACTAGTATTTCATAGTTACAATCAGATAATGATAATATTAAACAACAAGTACAATATACTATCAAATAGTTTTAAAAATATTGAACAAAAAAAGAAACACAATCACAAATTAATAATATGAAAAAGATATCAATATTATTACTTCATATTAAAAATATACTGTTTAATTTAAACAAAAAAACAAATCTATTGAAACTAGAACAAATGATCATATAAACCAATTTATAAAGCAACAAAGAACTAATAGAATTCTTGTGATATTACACAAATTATAAAACTAAACACAACAATTTGAAAAATGAAAATGATAATTGGATCAAAATATGGTTTTACATGCAAAAATCTATATTATTTTAATATGCCCAACAGTATTATAACTCCAACTTTTATATAGATAATCAATAATTATTTTAATTAATTTATATTAATTATTAATTATCATAATTAATTCATTTAAAAATTATTATTAATCAAATTTAGTTAAAAATTTTGAAAATTATAAAATTCAAAAATATATATATAGTCACTTTTAATTTTATCATTTATATTAAAATTTATTTTATTCACTTTCTATCATATTATCTATTAATTTTGAAAATATTCTACTGAAAATTTAATAATTAGCAATGAAATTATAAATAAAAATTCAACAATATTGCTCTAAATATTAATTTATCATCAATCATAATAAACCATATTTCATTACTGTTCCATTACTTTATGGAGAAACAAATAATAATGATAATAATAAAAATAGTAACTCAATATTATTAACTAAATTTAAAAGTCATACTATTAATGAATTTATCAATGCAATGGCTAATTCTTAATAAACTGAGATATTACCAATATATTTCTCTGATAAAGTTTCACTATTAGTTTATTCTTAATCAAATAATATACTGAAACTGCTCTTTACTTTGAAATTGGATGATTTTTCAATGACCTAACAACTAGATTAATCATTGCACAAACAATGATTGAAATCAAATACTTGTTTAAGAAGAACATTTTTTCACATAATACTATTGCAAAAGTATTAGTTACTTTAAAAATTTATAACTATTTTAAAAATTTTTCTGGAATATTAAATTATAAAAAGATTTCAAACTGAATCCAATTGGAAAATTAAATAAATGAAATAGTGATGAACTCAAAGAATGAATCATTAAAATATTTAAACAAATAACAATAAATTCAGAAAAAATAGATTTAGATAATATTTTAGTTTAATTATTTTTACTTTTACTTTTTATTTTACTTTTATTTTTATCTTACTTTTTATTTTTTTATTTTTTTATTCTTATTTTACAGAGTAAAATATTTAATAATGAGAATTCTATTGTGATTAAATATTTTTTATAATCACAAATAATTATTTCACATAATCACTTCACATAATTACTTCACATGATCACTTCAAATAATTACTCTGAATGATTATTTTAAATAATTATTTCAACTGATCATCTCAAGTGCTCTGAATGATTATTGCAAATAATTATTTCAAATAATTATTTCAAATACTCTGAATAATCATTTCAAATAATCATTTTATAATTATCAAATACTTATAAATACAACTTGTATTTTAGCTTAAAGAAAAAATTAATAATTAATCAATAATAAATCAATAATAAATCAATTAAATTTTATATTTTTTTAATAATTTTTTAGATAGTATTTTTATAATCTCTTATCTTAATTATAAAGTTATTCTTGTATTTGTTTTATAATTTTTATCACTATTGTGAAGTTATATTATCTTATATATTCTTGTATTTGATTTCTTATCTATATTGTGAAATTGATTATAATAATATTAAATTAATAAAAGAAAATTATATCTTATTTATTTATATAAACTAACTTTAAAAGAATGCTCAACTTACTATAAATTGAATTATAAAAAATACAATTTTCTTTGAATCTTTCTGATCTTATTTTAGCTGATCAACAAAATGAATATATATTATTTATCTTTAAATAACTTAATAAATTCTTTCAACTTAAAGTTATTTAATATATTAACTTTTCTACTTAACTTTATTATATGTACTCTTGTGATAAAACATAAAGTTATATTAAAATAATAATAATATTTATCTTTACTTTCACTAATTTTATTTTATTTTAATTCACTTTCTCTCACATTTTTATATGATTATTAATACTAAAAGTGAAAAAATCTTCATTATTATTAGCAATAATTTAATAATTAATAATATTTATATTAAGCATCCTTTTATATATATATTATATTACAAATTTTTTAAAAGATATAATTATTTATAATAAATTCATTTTTCAATTAAATTTAAAAATAATATAAATTATCTTATTAATATTTTTTATTAATATATAATTAAATTATTTAATTTACTTTAATTTTGAACAACTTTATAATTTTTTGTTTTTATTAAATAAATTGTATTATTAAACAAAAATAAAATTAAGTAATTTAATTTTAGCTTTAGTCACTTTGTAAAGTTTAAATAATAATATTTAAGATTGATAATATTAATATATATTAATAAATTAAGTACATATATTAATAATTTATATACACTTAAATTCTAAATAGTTTTATCTGATAATATTAATTTATTTCATTTTTTTATTATTGGCAGTTATTATTATATTTGAAAATATTAATTTTATGTGAAAGTTATTAGTTATATGTACAATATTTGTACTTTTTAAAGTAACAAAAAAAATACTTTTATTGATAATTATTGTAAATTAATCTATCAGATTTTTTCTTAAAAAACTCAGCAAAATCATTTAGTAAATTATTATATTTTTTAATTTAAAAATAATACAAATTACTTTTATATACTAGAAGAAATTTATTTTTTTCCATTAATTTTAATATATGTAAAAGTTTTTTATATCTTGTTATTCATTGATATCTCTTTAAAACTTTTTTTTGTTAACTTATCTAAAAGAATAATTAATAATTATTAGTAAGTAATTACAAGTAATATTAATTAAAAATAATAATAATTATATATCATTTTCACAATTTGCTTTATAAAATCTTTTTTATTAGATATTCAATAAAATTATTTAATATAATTTTTATATAAACTCTTATAAGTTTCTGTAATTATATTATTTATAATTTCATATTTTTAAATATATAATAACATTATATATGAAGCTTTGGTAGTTATAAATTATTTGAAAAATAATGAGCAAAATTTCAATAAATTCATAAATTTTAATTAATAATAAGTGTCTATATTATTACAAGTTTGTTTACTAATTATTAAATTAGCTTATAAACTTAAAACTAAATTGAAAGAAAATATTAAATAATAAATAAAATATTAAGAGAAAAGAGAGATATCTAAATCCTATGCTAATTTTTATAGAAATTATGATAATTCAAAGATATTATCAGGAAATTTTTATATCTGATTATAATTAAATATTATCCAAAAATCAACTATCATTAATTATTAATTATTAATAATTAATTATAATCAATTGCAATCAGATATAATTAATGATTATTAAAATTAAATAATCAATTTTTTGTTTAGAATTAGTGAATATTTATAATCAATAATTATTAATTTTAATTAATTATTTACAATTAATTGTAATCAATTATAATTAATTATAATTGCTGCTAATCAATAAATAATAAGTAATCAATTATAATTAATAATCAATTATCAATTAATTATTTATATTGATTACTCTACTAATTTATCTTTTATAAGTACATATACAATATTAGAAAGCTTGTAAAATTTAATTTTGGGTATCAATTTAATAGATATTTCAAATAATATTTTATTTTATTAATATAATTATAATTAAACAAATAAATAAAAAAATTAGTATACAAAAAAATATATTTAGAAGGTTTGCTATTCTAATTTAATGATTATCAAATCTATTTTGATTATTTTTTATATTTCTGATAATAACATCTTGATTTTCTATTGTTCTTTTTGTTTCTCAAATATTGCTTTTATTTCTTTCATTTCTTCTATCATTTTTTTATTTCTTCTTTTATTTCTTTTATCGATTTATTAATTATTTTATTAAAAAATATTACATTATTTTGGCAAATATCAATTTGCTCAAAGATAGATTGATTAATAGATACAATAAATTTTTGTACAAAATTGATATATTTCTTTTATGCAAAGACAAATTATTTTTTGTATATAGGACATATTATTAATGCTCCAATCGGGTCGGGTTCAATCCGTGACCCGACCCGAATCGCACACTTCGGGTCGGGGTCGGCCTAAAAATTGTTATTTCTCGTTCAATATTAATCCAAATTAAACGAAAATTTGTGGATATGTACACAATTACATTCCGAACAACTTTACTTAAGACACAAATTACAAGTGTCTTAGTAAAAATAAAAGTTATTAACAAAAAACTATTTTACGATTTGGGGAATGACAAATCTCAGGTATTAATGTAATCTCACGTGCAATGTGTTAAATGAAATCAAGGGAGGGAGGGGGAAGGGTCCCTATAACAAAATGGATATTAGCTAATATTTGTCACTCCCTTTTTCGGATCAAACAGAGTTTTACATATTATATTAACTATAACGATAAAAAAGAAAGTAACTTAAATTAGTTTTATGCCAAACTACAGATTTTTATTCTAGTATAAAATACATGTACATGTATTATATTATGTAATCGTTGTCATACCCTGTCGATTCAATTGATAATCTAATTTGACACGATATTTTTATTAGCCTTACAGAAGGATAATTAATGGTGAGAAAAGTCTGGAATTTCAGAATTCAAATAACATTAATCGCGTTATAATACACGAAATATTAGAAATTCAAATTTTAATAACTCAAGAAATCCGGTGTATGAGTTTTAAGTTTAACAGATGCAGCCTCTCATCCATCACCTTTCACTCCAATCTCAATCAAAAGCATTCTTACAAAAATTAACAATTTTTTTCGTTGTATTTTCTTTTACGATAAACTGATGATCAACACTGAAAGGTAAATAAATTCCTTTAGGCGCTAACGCATTACAATATAATTCTTTAGAAATGCGAATGTCGGCTTGATTGTCTCTGTATCCGTGAATTATAAGAATCGGCAACGGGGATATTTTGCGCATTGTTTCCATTGAAATTGGTTCAGTTGACTGTATATATATAATTAATTACATAAGAAATTGATCAATTCCGATTAAGGTTTCTCTTCAGTTTGCTCACCTGAATACCAAGTGTCACACAACCATAAATCAATCTCGAACGTTTCGATGCAGCAATACGCAACACTATCGCACCAGCAAAACTCCAACCAGCAATCACAAATTTTTCAATTCCATAATCGCGTTTTACTTTCTCAATAACTTCAAGTATATCTTGAATGCAATATTCTAAATTTTCGGGTTTACTCGTAAACCTCATTTGTACACAAGAGATACCGGCTGCCGTTAACCCGTTCATGATATCTTTGTATAAAGGAATAAGGCCGCGTTGATATTCATATTTGTAGGAAGTGAGAAGTAATGCGGATTTTTGGGTAGAATTGGTGGTAGTGGTGGGTAATGGTTGATATAATACTACCGATAGTGTGACGAGAGGGGAATGTGGTAACGTGATTAAAATGTGTTTTTCAATCATTGAATTCAAAGAAATGATTCTTGTTTTCTTAATAATAAATAATTAAGTCGCTCCCATTTTATATATTTCGGTTTTTTATTTTATCAACCTGAGAAAACTTTAATTGATTTGATTCGAATGATTTACTGATGAAATTATTTTTTTATTATGCTACATGTCAATAAATGCCTATGCTATTTTGTGATTTATGCTATTATACAAAAAATAATATCTACAAACAATTTCTCTAAAAAAATTTCCAAAGCAAAAATTCTAAATCTAATAAATTTTCAGCAGTTATATCAGTTAAGCTTTCAATTTATCCAAAAATTCCTACATATTAACGTCAATGCTTATTGATGATGACATTTGCTACCCCGAACCAATTGGAGTCAGCATCAACTCCATTACCACCTATAATACCCGATGGCTTGTACAAGTCACCATTGTCATATCTCACAGCGGTCGGTTCCGGTTTCTTGATTGAAGTGTGCAAGTTTTCTAGTTGGATTCGCTGGTTTTCGCATTGTTGTTCGTCAGTTTGCATTGCCTTTTGTATAAATTAAAAAAATAAATACATGTATCGTCAAAAATCAAATTGCTCATCATAAATCAATTACTCGCTTCTTTTGGCATGGTAGAAAATGATTCTTCGCCAATTTCTCCGGAAACTACCCTCTTACGAAGAACCGGATTGTGTCTTAGATTCCATACCAGGCTGCGCATTTTTTCACTATATTTTTCTCTAGATTCATGCAGATAAATTTTTCTGTACACGTGAATTTCGATTTTTTTGACTTTTTCGGCAACTTTTATTCGAGAAAAGAAGAATACTATTATTAATAGAGATTCTTTTGATAATTATAAATGCTATTACCCTTTCTACCGGATCCATTTAAATCAATTAATAGCGCATCTTTTAAAAGCTTAATGGCTTGATTAATAAAAATAAATTAATCACTCAAAAAATCAAAGATTAAAAAATGCGTAACGGTAACAGTAAATAATGATAAACGAAGTAAATAAATACCATTATCACGATAACGATTACCCGTAATAGAAGGATAACGATAATTCATCTTTAATCTTTGTAGTTTCAAAATAGAGAAATACAAAATTAACTATTGATTCTGCTCTCAAAGACTTTCAATCGCGTTTTTGTGAATTTAAATTACAAATCAAAAAAATTTGAAGCTTCTTGACAACCCCTTTTTATATATTATTTCCTGACGCGTTTTATTTAATGTGATTTATTGAATGATTTAATTGATTTTTTTATGGTGTATTTAGTATCAATATTGACATGCAATTCATTTCGTTGAAGCAGAATTACGTGTTAACATGGCTTTTTGGCATCAGTATATTAAAAAATTGCTTAATTAATCATAGTAATATCAGAACAATAAACGATAGTGACAGCTAATAGAGTTTTAAGTGACAGGACATTCAAAAATTGAAATATTTAATGTAATTTTCTCTTTACTTTTGTCTGTATATTGACTGTCAAATGAACAATTGTTTGGATGAAAAAATAAAAATTCTTTTGAAACTGTAGAATCTTTGTCCATAACAAATATATCTTCTAGATTGCATGTGTCAAATAGCATTATTAGAACTTTTATATTAACTATATACGTTATTACATGCAGAGGTACTCCTAGTCTTTAACTCACTTTTAATTTTGATCCTTCAATAATCCCAGTATGCATTTACACGTATGGCAAACTAACGCTAAATATATTCGTAATAGGCAAGTGCTCATAATATTCACATCAAATTTTCTTTCCTTTTTCCTCGAATCCCTTAATTTCTTCTTGTCTAATGTTATTATTTGAAAACTCGATATCAAAAGAATCAATTGACAAGATTAACATTACTAATATCATTAACGCTAATATAAAAAAAGAAAATCGCATCTTTTCTTGCTCGATATCTGCTACAAATATGAAATAAGGACCGTATCAATGTTTTTGGAGTCTGCCAATTTGAATTCAATGTATTTTTAAACTGGACCTTAAAATAAGAATATGGCAAAAAAATAATCACTTTGTCCAACATCAGCACTAAGTTGCTAACGCTAAATATTGGCAAACCGGGATTATCCAATCACAGAATTCGCTGAATATCTTTATGAGAATGAACATAGAGGAGGAAAAGGGTTGATAGAGTGAAAGCGTTGCATTGGTATTTGAGAACTGTTAAATTGAAGAGTGATGCTAATTACACAAGTATGGTTCCTGTGACAAATATTTCGGTTGAAGACAGAATTGGCGCAGGATTTCTTTGAGGAGATAAAGTGGTATTAAGAAAAATTAGAGAAATTAATTGAATTTCCGGATGGATTGAATAGATCAACTACGTATAGCTAAACATACAATGGCCTCCCAGAATATTATGGACACTTTTTAAAATACAATAACGCAAAAATCAATAAAAAAAGCAAGATTTATATTCTAAGCTAATAGAATCATTGAAACATATTGTACATTATATCAAAATTTCAAGTAATTTAAATAACTAGTTCAAAATAAAATTTAGTATCAAACCGAAATTTATGTGAAAAAATATTTATTTTACAAAGATGCAAATAACTTCGCATACAATAAATCAAATTAAATAAAATTTTATCAGCAAATTCTTCAAGTTATGTCACATCTAATGATATTAAAATTATTTAATTTGGAGTACTAAATACGAAGATATCGCATCTCAAAGATAATGTACAAAATTTTTTGAATAGATTTTTGTGAATGTCTCCGCATCTAATTAACCAAATTAGATGATTTTGATATCATCAGATTTGCCTTGTTTAAGTGAATCTAGTGATATCAAAATCATCCAATTTGGTCCACTGTATGCAGAGATATTTGCAAAAATGGTTTTCTTTAAAATATTTTTTTATCCCAATTTTTGTACAGTATTTTTGAGATATTATATATCTGCATCTAGTGATCCAAATTATATGATTTTGATATTATTAGATGCATCTTGACTTGGTGAATCTGGTGATTTAAGATTATTTAATTTGGTTTACTGGGTGAGAAGATATTTGTATCTTTATAAAATATAATATTTTTTCGCGTAAATTTTCAGTTTGATACTAAATTTTATTTTTTATATTTATATATATTTTTTTTGAACTACGTAGTTATTGAAATCACTTGAAATTTGATATAATGTACAATATGTTTCAATGTTCTATTAGCTTAGAATCATAAATCTTGTTTTTTATTGGTTTTGCATTATTGTATTTTAAAAAGTGTCCACAATATTCTGGGAGGCCACTGTAGTTAACTATAATAGACCAATTAGCATAGCTATATTACATAACTAAGGCTCCATCAAGCAATGTCCGGGCGCCATTTAGTTCCTATTAACCCGAATCCCACATGCGTCGGGCTTAAACTCTTTATTTCCATCCAAATTCCTCAATAACTGCACGTTTTGCTTGTGCATGCTTCTGACACCAATCTTACCAAATTCTTCTATCTTAGATACCAATCGTTTCCTAAACCTCGCATGCGCCCAACTCATCATCTTTCGAACTGTCCTATTATTAAGTCTTCTTCCTTGTCGGCGTCGTGACATTTGTGTGCTATAAAATGTCGGCAATACTATTATATCAAAAGTACGAACCAGCCACAATGCAGTTTTTTTGTGTACTTCATCCACTAAAATTTTGTATGAATTTTCTTAAGCGGGTTTGGGCTCGTTTTATAGAGTTACGCTTCTTTGCTGGTGCTCTAGTGGTGCATGAAATAAGTGCATCCAGAGAAAGACAGAGGCGGTTAATATCATTGTCGCCGAAATTGTCGTAGCTGACTGCATGTGAGAAAAGTTCAGACACCAGGATCAATGGCTGCAACATGGATTTCTTCCGCTTGATTCTCACGGATAGACTTTCCATAACCCATACAGATGTTCAATGTCCTAATTTTCTCTCGTATATTAATTATATTAATTTCGAGTCCATTGTAACTTGTATCTCCGAAATTCGTGATGAAATGGTGGCTTTGCTAAACCTTTGTAACGTGGATGATCCGGATCACTAGCAAGAAGAACCTTATTATGTAATAGCCTTAGGTAAAAATGAAGTAGTACATGGCAGTACTGGGCACGAATAGTAATAGTTTGGCGGTCATCCTTTTTAGAGGTAAAATAAAGTATGTTGTAAGGGTCTTGACTTTTTCTCTTTCGATTTCTTGCAATGACTTCATCTCTGGCTTGAAATAGCATGATCAAGCACATCATATGGCACCTTTTCCATAAATACCCATTCCTTTGTGTATCTAATTTTCAGCCGAAAAAGCACTCTGAAAAAAAAACTGCTTTGTAGTTCTTATAATGCTGACGGTAATTGATCACTACCATGTTATAAGCCACACCCATCCACTATCGAAGCAAGATCTCCTGAGAAGAATTGGGATACAGTCATACTTTCAGTGATCGTGTCAAATCTGCTTTCTTTGCTCTCTTGACTCGTCGCGTTGTTTGCACTTTCTTCCTGCGTTTTTTGCTTTTTGTCTTGTTCCCGTTCTCGTCTGTATCTAAAAAATGAGTGATTTAATTTGGTTTAGGTGAAAGAAAGTGCAAATAAATGATTTATCTAGCAGATTGCTTTCCATATAGTCAGCAGATGAAGACAGTGTTAATGACGAGAATATCCTGAGATAGTTCCCATCCGTTGGATTGTCATTTGAGAGAACCATGAGCCTTCTCAAATTGCTGAGTTTGGACTTACCAAACCAGCAGATATAGAAAATTCTGATCAAAATATTTGCGGAGTACTTCCTTATATGAGTCCAGAGGTACTAAATGGAAAGCCATACACTCAAGCTGCAGATATTTATAGCTTTGGAATAATAACGTACGAAGCTGCCACAGATGAACGACCATTCGGTCGGTGAGCGGAGTCACAGTAATGATCTCGTATTAGAGATCTATAACGGAGTATGACCTACGATACCAAATAATGTTCCCGGATGGTGCAAATTTATTATTGAAAATGTTGGGGATCCTATTCCAGAAAACAGACCAACTTTTAAGAAACTTGGCGACTTTATCTTCTCTATCTTACATGTCGACCAATCCATTCAGTATAGTATGAAACTGGATATTTTGCATTTTCAGCAGATCTTAGAATATCCTAAAACACGCGAAGAAATAATTGAGTATCTCGTACTAGAAAAGTAGAAAGTAGAAATTAGAAATTAGATAAACTTGATAAGGAGATACAAATACGAACGAAGAATAAATCCACTCAAACGCAGTTCACACCAATCGAGTCTTTACCACAAAACTAATTTCAATTCCAACTAAGACAGGTACTTTTATTTTGAAATATAAATCATATTAGTATTTCACAGTAATTAAAATTCATATCAAATGTATAGTGTCGTTTGTTTGCTTCAAACGAAGGTAAAATGACATTGAACAATACGCAAAAATAAAGCGCACTCTATAAAATCATATTTCAATTCTGAACTTTGTTTTAAAACCCGTTAATTACCGTTACATGTACACAGTAAATCTCTTTATAATGTATCCACTACGTATATCAAGAGTTTTTAAATTTTATTAGTAAATCTACTATATCGAGTGGATCTTATTAGAAGCAGTTTTGAATATTATCCACCATAACGTGGATTTAATTAGTCTCCACTATAACGGGGGTACACTATAAAGAAAGTCACTGTGTATCTAGTGCTGTTATTGACGAATCAAACTTGGTCTTGTTTATTTTTCTTTTCTTTTTCATAATGTACATAAAATAAATTCCAAGATAAATTAGTGTTTCTAAATTGAAACTCGATTCAGTTTAAGCATTGTTCAAATGAATTAGTAAGTCTGCTGATGTTTCGGTTGTTGCATAAAGCAAAAGAAAAATTTGTATGTGCAACATTTAACGCCAAAAAAGTAGGGTGAGGGTTGAAGGAATGAGATTATAATATTAATTTAAATCACCAGGAATGAAAGCAAAATCAGTATTGTTCTTTCTGGATTTTGCTTTCTAACCTCAGTAAGATGTGTCTTAAATGAATCGAAAACAAAAGAGCAGACTCATCACTTGTAGTATAATTATTAGCCCAAAGTAACATATACAATTTATCCATTTAAACTTGTTATGAAAGATAATAATTACATAATTACACTAGATGAAGATGGAGTGTATTTCTGGTTGTGGAACATTTTTTGTTCTTGAAGATAATCATATGAGAAAGCTTTGTCAAATCATACAAGTATTGGAAATTAAGCATTTTTGCTTAAATTAACAGGAATTTTTTGTGCAATTTTTATTTTTTCAGTTAAAATAAGTTTATAATGTTTAAAAAATGTGCTAATCATGTTGAGAATGTCTTAAAACTACGTATGTGTAATTTATTGTTTCGTGGAATAATTGGTACTGATAATAATTTTGGAAAAGAATTACTGTTGAACCATCTGGTTCACGGATTGACAACCATTTTTTCTGGTTGACCAGTTATAATTTTCAACCATTGGAGAAACTGATAATAAAATTTAATGACTGTTACAAAAACACAAACTTTTGAAACTATGCTATATTTTCAGACGATCTTAATTTAGTATTAATCCCAAATTATGTGATTTAATTTTATTATAAACGTTTTATTTTTCTGGCATTCATTATAACCATGAGTGTTAGAATCCATCTTTGAGTTCGGCGTTTTAATTAAAACTTTGAAATGATGGTAAAATAAAAATGATTTATAAGTGTTGTTGTTATTCTTCCGTCTGTGTTTGTAAAATAACACAGGAACGCATTGTGGACCAATAATTCAGACATGTGTATGAGATTAAATTTGAAAAGACGAGTTATTTTGTAATTAATAAAAGGCACTTATTTCAAATGTATGTTGTAGGCGTAATGTGTCTGGTATTTGCATACGTACGTTAAGTTCTATGAAGATATACTGATACGTAATACATTACACATCGATATCAATATCGAATTTTGTTTTAATATCAATATAAACTCAAAATTTCTATCGTTATAATAATAAACATAGCACAGCAATTAAACGAATAAACTATAGTTTAATAAATTTTGATAAAAAGTAAAAACTGCTTTAACTCGAGACACAGTTAATTTGTTTTACTTTGTTGGAAGTGTTTCATCATGAGTCAGTAGGTTTTCTTGCAAGTCAATCGATATCTTTTCATTCTCTTTGATTTCATGTGATATAGTAATGAATGATAATATCTTTGTGGTGGTGGAAAGTAATAGCTTTTTTTCGAATGTGCAAAAAGAAAAAGCTGATAAACGCCAAGGAAATATGCGTTGCTCGTAAAGATAAAGATAATATTGTGTTGATTATGCAGTTGTCGTCATTTCGTTCTAAATGGAGTGTACATATTACATGTACGTACTTTTGATGCTCCGTTCAATGGATCAACATTGTTGATTTATCGTTAATTGTTATTAAAAAATTGCTTTCGCCAATAATATCGATATAAACACATCCAGAAAAAAAAACTAAGAAAACAAATAAAAAAATGAATCCTGACTTGTTATTAACTTCACACTTAAACAGATTCGATAGGTTCTATCGAAATTCTAACTATTATGATATTTCGATTATTGTCGGTGAAAATACTCAACGTACTTTTTCAGCCCACTCAGCAATATTAGTGGCGCAGTCACAATATTTTGCGGTTGCACTTTCTAATGCATGGGTGAAACGAGACCCGGATAAGATGATTATCTTTAAGAAACCAAATATCGAACCTCGAATTTTTGAAATATTGCTAAGGTATTTTCATGTAAAATGATGCAATATTACGAAATAAAAGTAATAATGAAAATTTGTCTCGGTTAAAATTTCAATAGATACATTTACAGTGGAAAAATTGATTTATCAAAACATGGTGTATCGACACTTTTGGATTTATTAGTCGCAGCCGATGAATTGATTCTTGAGGATTTGATTGAATACATTCAAAGCTGTCTTCTCGAATACCACTCTGAATCTTTAACAGAGAGTTTTGCCCTAATCAATCAAATTGCATTCGAGCATAACTCTTTTACCAAACTTCACGAATTTTGCACAGATATCACATGTCAAAATCCAGCAGCTATTTTTCAGTCAACTGGTTTTACCAAGTTACATGAATCAGCGCTAGTTTGTCTGCTCAAACGCGATAATCTAAATTTGAATGAAATCGACCTTTGGGAAAAGGTGCTCGAATGGGGAATATCTCAAACAGCAGATGCTGGCGAAATTGATTTGACGATTCCAGTGGAAAAATGGACACCTAACGAATTCAAACAACTCAAGTGCACGCTCGAAAATTGTTTACCATTGATTCGTTTCTTCCACATCAATTCGGTTGATTTTTATAACAAAGTGCTGCCGTATGCTGAAATTTTACCAGGAACCCAATATAAAGACTTATTGCATCATTATTTGGTGCCAGGAAGTGAAGAACATAAGGCTACCTTACACCCAGTTCGCAAAATCACAACTATCGATCCTTCAATTCTTTCGCAGAATCAGGCCTCTAAAATAATTGACTGGATTAAAGAACAAGATGATAATCAAAGAAACAAATCAATTGAATTGAAGCTATTACTACGAGGTAGTCGTGATGGATACGATAATGATGACTTTCATCGTTTGTGTGATAATAAAGGTCCAACAGTGGTTGCCATTCGCGTAAAAGATGAGAAAAAGATCATTGGTGGTTATAATCCATTTGAATGGAATTCACTTAACAAAGACTACAAATCTTTAAATAGCTTTTTATTTGAATTTAATTCTGATGATTTTCAAGCTACCAATGGACGGAGTGTGGGAAGTTATGCAGATTATGGTCCAGCGTTTGATTTAATTCTGAGTGGTTACTTCACTAAAAATTTCTGTAGGAAAAGCTCATATGACCATGATCTGCTGAGTTCTGATGATGAATTAAAGTGTTTTGACATCGAGGATTATGAAGTATTACAAGTTGCGCCTAAATAAATTTTTATAATGATATAATTAATTGACAAATATTTCTTTATAAAATAGAATTTTAGATTCTTTATACATTATACAATTACTTCATTAAATTTTGATTTTAAATGGTCTTTAACTCTTTAAGTTGCACTAAGATTAATTGATGATCTTAATTAACTACTTAAATTAGATCTTGTATTGAATTATTTTATCTTTAGCATTAGAATTATGCAGTGGCTCATAAAAGAAACTTTTTATTTCTATATATCAATATTTTTCTAAACAAAATAAACAAGTATATAAAACAGGTTATTTTAACCATTTGAACGATTTAAGACAAAACTTGAATTTGGGTTACTAATTAAAAATGTTATACTCTATAAATCTATCTATTTTATCTAAGTCGCTTGCAAATTTATCGATATGTAATCTTTCGAATTTTAAATTTTAATAGTAAAAAATTACTTTACTAATTAAATTTTGTCATTTATATGTAAATTTGTATATAGGTAGATTTCATAAAGAACATTCTTAATGAATAACTCAAATTAAGTTTTGTCTTAAAAAAAGTTTATGTTGCTAATTAAAAAATTTGGTTGAAATCATTTAATCTCACAAAAATGGATAAAATAATTTGGTATCAAAATATTCTAGAGGTTTAACTAAACATTTGTTTATTTTGTTTGGATCTATTCAATCAAGCCTCAAGAATCAACCCATCGGCTGCGACTGTTAAATCCAAGTGTCGAAACATCATGTTTTGGCAAATCGATTTCTCTACTGTAAATGTATCTATTAAAATTTTAACCCAGACAAATTTTCATTATTGCTTTATTTCGTAATGCAGCTTTATTTTTACATGAAACTACCTTAGCAATCGATATTCGATTTTTTAAAGATAATCCTATTATTTTGCTCTCGTTCACCCATGCATCATAAAGTGCTACCGCAAAATATTACGACTGCGCCACTAATATTGCTGAGTGGACTGATTTTCACCAACAATAATCGAAATATCATAATAGTTGGAATTTTGATAGAACTTATCGAGTCCGTTTAAGTGTGAAGTCAATAACAAGTCAGGTGATATGGACATACCGATACATGTACTTTTTCGTTATCATTATTAGATCTTTTACACATTGTATGTGTTTCTCTTTCGTCTAATTAGATTACTTGCGAGAAATTTATTTGGAACCCTATCTAATTGATTCTTAATTTAAAGATTTACCTTAACGTCAAGCGAAGAATTAGGCAATGATATGATAATAATATAAACGTTCTCACATTCATTATTCATTAGCTTTATCTATTAACAAAATAAATATATAAAAAAGTTTTATAAACTATATAAAAAAACAACATTACCATTTAAAAATCCAAGCTGAAAGTTCTATTAATATAATGAAGACATTCTTGATTCATCTGGACATTCGACAGATTGTAAAATGTTTCGGTTGCACCATATATCTATGGTATACATGTACTATTCAGTAAATTAGTGTCATGGTGGGTAGATCGTAAGTAGGCGCGTAATTGACGATTTTCCTGCAACAATATTGGGGAAAATGAATAGACTTAATGATGTTCGTTAGTTTCGAATTCCTGTTCAATATAACGGTCGAGAGGGTTTCAAAGAGAAGTTGGGTTTTAGGTAAGGTGGTTTTGGTTTCAATATTTTATGCGATGGGTTCTCTATCGATATTGTCTGTAATATTAACTTCTAATTGTTGCTTTTTCCTAGCTAAAGCCTTAAACTATTCAAGAATAAAGCGTTTTCAATCAATCAATATCCCGTTAACGATATCAATGTACAATTGATGCGTTTTCTGGATCGAAGGTCCTAACCACAATCAATTGCAACAAGTCTAAATTACTTGGAGGGGAATTATACGCAATTAATTTTCATCCTTTATTGATGTCCTTGAGGACTTTATATGCATTTTTTTGGATTACATTGTGAGACATTGTTCTAGAAGTTAATGTATAACGTACATTACTAAGAATTGATTAAAAAAATAGAAAACAGGAAAGATAAGAATAGAATTTGAAATAAAATACCGCCGCCGCATAGAGATCGATTGTAATGCGACATAGAGCATGAAATAGGATTTTGGATAGGATAAAAGGGATCAATGAAATAACCCCGGTGACAGTAGATGTTAGATATTTACTTTACTAAATGCAGAACATGTACAGGCGCAGCTGAATCAAGAACGGGATTTTAAAATTTTCTGTCGAACGAGGTGAATCATGAGTGAAAGTAGAAAAGGGAAAAAAGATTCTTGTATTGTTATAATATCTCAACGAATCTATTTACTTGTTTACCGTTAACCCCTCCCCTTAATCATAAAACAATAACTTTAATACCGGTGGACAACAACCACAACAAATTTACAATCAACAACCACCACCACCATCTTTCAATGATAATAGCAATACTAATATTTTCTATTATAGCCACCAAGCAAGTAGTAGTGTGGGTACTCCTACAGCAAATACACCTTCTCCACCACCACAATTCCAACAAACAGGAAACTTACAATTATCTTCACTTGGCACACCAGCCGACATCGAAGGCTTGCAGAAAAAAGTTTCATCCACCACGGTAATGTTGCCACCAGGTGACAATAACGTTCGCCCAGTCACCATCATAGTTCGTCGACTGCCATCGCTACGAAAAAGATGAAGATAATCAACAACACTGCAGAATATCCCACTTATCGTTAATCATTCTTCTATAATGGAGAACCCCTATGAAACATACTATGAAATGCTTTGTTGTTACATGTATTATGATTGGTTAGTATTATGATCATTTTTATATTTGTAGCCAGTAATTAATTATGTTTAATCAATTTTTAGGTGTGTCGGCTGGTCTCGTTAAATGGAAAATGAATACGACGTTCTTTATTATGATAAGTGCCATTAATGTCAGACCTCAATTTAATGACTATGCGATTTAACGACATCACTCTTAAATCCTTAGAATACATATACTAGCGACATTTTTTCTAATTTTTACTATCGGTCCCGACCCCTCGTTAAATCGAGTCTGACTGTATTCTACTCAGTATCTACCCAAACTAATTATTGATTTATCTCTCACAACAACAATAACGAGAACGATAATAATAACGATAACAATTGTAATCAATTTAATTGGCTAAATTCAATCTGACTACACACCCAATACAATACATGTACATGTAACTATTATCACAGCTAAATAATGAATATATTCGTTCATTCGTGTCAACAGCGATTCTTATTACGCGTTTCCCTTTTTTTAAAATTTAATTCCTTAAAGAATAATAAATTTTTATTATAGTCAACCCTTGATATAATGAAGTATTACTTTTTAGGCTTCAAAAACAAAGGGGGATTTAGCTTGTTTTCGATTATTTTTGGTTGTATAAATTATTAGTAAACTAGATCAGAATCTAACATTGGGGAATTAGAATCTAATAATATAATAATAATAAATGGTGCTAGCTTATTTTCGGGACATGACATTACACTGAAAAAATGAGAGAAAGCTTATTTTCAGAGATATATGGCAATAGAATTTTAACATACCGTTATAATTTCCTATCAATTCTGTTCCTTTATAAACGATCCAGCTTTTTCAATATTGATTCTTCATCTTCCAGAAACAAATAGTATCCAGATAATATATCAAACAGATTTGACACCGAAAAATTTAATTTGCAATCTGAAATCACATCATTTTTGAATACATGTATTAAGTAATGGAAGTGCACCTTGTGTAGTGTTTTTTCAATATGATCAACAGTTTTCCGAAAAAATGTTCGTAAGCAAATGCACAAAACTATTTTCATAATAGAAATCAGGAAATAATGTATCGTGACGAATTCATTTCTGAGAAAACTGAAAGTTTTCTATTGGATATTCTTAATTTATAAGCTTTCTATTACACTCCATAATCTCAAAAAAGTTGATTTCGCAAGCTTAAGGTTTGATGAGTATATATGTCTAGAGCTCATAGAAATTGATAAAATAAATATATTATTTGCTCAACATGAGGTTTTTATATACATACGCTTAAAAATCTGAGCTTTAAATTTATACCATTTCAAGTACACACTTAAATGAAGGGTTCTGTTCCAACGAAAAACTTAGTTGATGTATTAAAATAAACTCTTTATTAATAATTTATAATCAAAGTGAACTTTTGATTTCTAAACATGAAAGTTTACATATATATTTGTCAAATCTAAGCTTTTGATGTTTTGTTGAAAATCATTTTTGTATATCTGGCCAAAAATAATCAATAGATAATCATTACAACAGTAAAAGTAGAAGTATTAATGATAATAACAATAATAGTAATAAAGCGTACTCATCATTAAACAGTAACGTCAGGAATGAAAGTGACGTGCACCTCGAAACCAATTCTTCAGGAGAATCAAGAATACGATCTCTTTCACAACTCTAACCCATAGAAATCCAAACAACGATGTTAATAATTACAGACTTTTAACAATTTCAATGAAGAAAGGCAGTAATTGTAGTAATAAAGATCTGAACAACAAAATCAGCTTCAAAATACAAATAAAATGGTTATTTTAGTTTTTTTGAAATAGCTATATTATTCAAAAGATGTATGCCTAGTGTATTAAACAAACTGATTTACTCAATTTTACCTATATATCGTTCTAAATCACAATTGCAGTCAAAATAAAGTCGTAATGATTAAATTTTACCTATTTAAATTAGAAATTATATTAAGAAATTTTATGAATAAAACTCCAAGTTTAATTAGTTTCTGTTAATGGCACGGATCGCGAATACATATCGATAATTTATAAAATATAACATGGGTTTTCAGAATTCAGCTTTAAACAATATTCTGTTGAAAGCCATATTGAAATCCACGTGTTACTGAATTTATGCTTATCCAAATATTGAACAGATTAGGATAATTGATAATATGATTTTTAAACAAAATGGTAATGCTTGATGAAAAAAATCTATTTTTAAAAATTCATATTACAATATATTCATGAAATAAAGTGAAGAACAATAAAAGGTCACAACAGATCAAATATTACAAATTTATAAATTCCCTTCGAAAATACCTACTATCAATATAGATAAGCAAATTCTTGACGTTAAAAGATAGTATATAATAAATAATATATAATTAAAATATAATTAAAATGATGACAAGTAATGGTAATAAAATTATCAATGTTGATAAAGTATGCCAATCAAAAATGAAATTAATAAAGGGATAAAGCAATGTAGTAAAAATGTTCAAAACCAATTTGAATAAACTTCTTCAAAGTTAAAAGATTCAACCATTTCAGGAGCTCGATCGTGTTCATTTTCTTTAGCTTTTTGATACCATTTTAAAGCTAAATCGAGATTTTTTGAAATTCCTATTCCATAATGATAAAATTTTCCAATATTAAATTGAGCTTTATTATAACCAAACTCTGCTGCTCTTAAATACCAATTAAATGCTTCATTATCATCTTTGTCTGTTCCTTCTCCATATTCATAACATTGCCCAAGTCGAAATTGTGAGCGAGAATAGCCACTAATTGCTGATCGTAAGATAACTTTAAACATGGTACGTTCAATTAGTTTAGTTTCTTCATGTCTTTCGTAACTAAACCTTAGAATAAATTGAGCTCTAGTTATACCGGACTCCGCTGCTTTTGAATACAATTCGAATGCTTTTTCTTCATCTTTGATTGTTCCTTTTCCATTATTATAACAAAAGGCAAGATTATATTGTGCTTCAGGATCTCCGGTTTCTACTGATTTTAAATACCATTTGAATGCCTTTTCTTCATCTTTAATTGTTCCTTTTCCATTATTATAACAAAAAGCAAGATTACATTGTGCTTCAGGATCTCCAGATTTTGCTGATTTTAAATACCATTTGAATGCTTTTATTTCATCTTTAATTGTTCCTTTTCCATCTGCATAACAGAGAGCAAGATTATATTGTGCCTCAAGATATCCAGACTCTGCTGATTTTAAATACCATTCGAATGCTTTTTCTTCATCTTTGATTGTTCCTTCTCCATCTGAATAACTGAGAGCAAGATTATATTGTGCTTTAGGATATCCAGATTCTGCTGATTTTAAACACCATTCGAATGCTTTTATTTCATCTTTGATTGTGCCTTCTCCATCTGCATAACAGAGAGCAAGATTGAATTGTGCTTTAGGAAATCCAGACTCTGCTGATTTTAAATACCATTCGAATGCTTTTTCTTCATCTTTGATTGTTCCTTTTCCATCTGCATAACAAAGAGCAAGATTATATTGTGCTTTAAGATATCCAGACTCTGCTGATTTTAAATACCATTCGAATGCTTTTTCTTCATCTTTGTTTGTTCCTTTTCCATCTGCATAACTGAGGGCAAGATTATATTGTGCTTCAAGATATCCAGACTCTGCTGATTTTAAATACCATTCGAATGCTTTTTCTTCATCTTTGTTTGTTCCTTCTCCATCTGCATAACAGAGGGCAAGATTGAATTGTGCTTCAAGATCTCCAAAATCTGCTGATTTTAAATACCATTCGAATGCTTTTATTTTATCTTTAATTGTTCCTTTTCCATCAGCATAGCAGAGAGCAAGATTATATTGTGCTTCAAGATATCCAGACTCTGCTGAGTTTAAATACCATTCGAATGCTTTTATTTCATCTTTGTTTGTTCCTTTTCCATCCGCATAACAAAGAGCAAGATTATATTGTGCTTTAGGATATCCAAACTCTGCTGATTTTAAATACCATTCGAATGCTTTTTCTTCATCTTTGTTTGTTCCTTCTCCATCTGCATAGCAGAGAGCAAGATTATATTGTGCTTTAGGATCTCCAGACTCTGCTGATTTTAAACACCATTCGAATGCTTTTATTTCATCTTTGATTGTTCCTTCTCCATCTGCATAACAGAGGGCAAGATTGAATTGTGCTTTAGGAAATCCAGACTCTGCTGATTTTAAATACCATTCGAATGCTTTTTCTTCATCTTT